TCCAATCTTGCACATGCTTGCGCAGACCTTGCTTGCCTTCATAAAGCACGGTGTTTGCACACGGCAATAAACTCCTTTTCCGCTGCCCTTGTTGTTGAGTTCTCCCTTGGATCCCCAATCGAGGCGTTGTTGAACGGACGAGCATAGAGGCTTATGACAAGCGGATAACAGACGCGCCCTATCGAGGCAACAAATGGCTCGGAGGTATTACGGGAGGAACGCTAGAAGAACAGATGCGAGGGGCCATCGACCAATCAGGACGCCCAATCTGGGCAATACGTATGGCAGCACAGGATATGACTATCTGCCTATCGATTCACAAGAGCCCAACGACAGTGGGTCACGAATAGCCGGCACCATTTTCCTCAGCGTTGGTCTAAGCCTCTCGCTCATCTTTCTCATTCTTAGCGTAGTGCTCTCAAACTGGAATTGTGGCACCATTTTGAACTCCTGCCTGAATGGAACTTCAACAGAGTCCTACAAGATTGTGGGAGCCCTCCTCGTTAGCGCCATCCTGGTAAATGTCGTCGCCCTCGCAGTTTCTTTTGCCGGATGCGTAAAGTCCTGGGCCACAGCAGTCGCCCTAGTGTTGACTTGGCTTGGAGGCATCGTCGCTGTCGCAGCAATCGCCTACTACTTCAACAAGTTGGATCCAACCTATTGTCCCGCATTGGCTGTCACTGGGATTATCTTCGCGCTGGTCATGACAATCAGAGGCACAACTTGCCTCACTTTTGGTCTCTCCCTCTCCATCCTCTTTCTCATTCTTAGCGTAGCGCTCCCACATTGGAGCTGTGGCACCATTTTGCACTCCTGCCTGAATGAGACATCTGCGGGGTCCTATCGGACTGTGGGAGCCCTCCTTGTCTGCGCCATCTTGGTAGACTTCGTCGCCGTCCTAGCCGCCATTGCCGGTTGCGTAATCGAAGAGTCCTGTGCCACGCCAGCCGCCCGGTGGCTGACTTGGTTTGGAGGTATCCTCGCTATCGCGGCAATCGCGTATTACTTCAACAAGGTGGATACAACCTATTGTCCCGAGTTGGCTGTCACTGGAATTATCTTCGCGCTGGCCACGGCAATCATTACACCTATCAGATGCATACTTTAACGACGACCTT